CATGCATGGCATTGCATAGCATGACATCACATTGACATGCACGGACCATGCATCACAAATGAACACGACATGCATGCCATGTGCACACATGATTTCAGGTGGATGGATTTGATCTATTTCTATTGCTTTCCCCTGCTCCGCGAGGCTGAAATGGAAGGCAACCGCCGCTGTGTGTAGCTGCAACTGCCCAAAGGGTGGAAACCAACCTTTCGGTTGTCTGAGTGTGACAAAAAGTGCTTGATTGGGTGGCCAGCGTCATGGTGAACAGTGTGGCCAGCTCTTTCTGAAGTTTTGAATGTTGGCATAGAAAGAAGGCAAGGGCCAGAAACATAAATAAATAAATAAATAAATATATATATATTTATATGATGCTACTGGGCTGTAGTAGTGGGGGAAAGGGGGGTGGGGAGGGGTTCGTGGGGTAAAGGGATGTAGTACTGGGGAAATGGGGGGTTGGGATCGTGGGGTTTTCATAGAGGTTTGACGGTCCAGGTACTCACCAGAAGACCTCCCGGAGTCTGCTGTAGTAAGCAGGCGTTTTGGCATACGACAGGGCACCGGTGAAAAGATGAAGGTGCGCCTGATCGATGACTTCAGTGCGTCGGGAGTGAGATCCACGGTCCAAGTAGATTGCTCAGCAAAGTTGCACACCTTGGATGTAGCCGCGGCTCTATGTATGGAGCTCCTAAGGGGATCCTTGGGTAGGAAAGACCGTTGACCTATCAGCGGCATATAGACAACTTGGTGTTTCCCCCGGCTCACGTTGGGTTTCATACATAGCTGTTTACGACCCGGGTAGTCGTAGCCCAAAGGTCTTTTCTATGAAGGCCCTCCCCTTCGGGGCTTCCAAATCAGTCTATGGGTTTTTGAGAGTGGCGCACTCCATTTGGTGGCCGGATGCAAAGTGCTGGCGCTCCCTTGGACAAATTTCTTTGATGACTTCGGCACGTAGCGCGGAGAGTGAATCCTTGTCGATCATGGTAAACCAGTTTTTCAGACTCTTAGGCTGGACCGTCTCTTCTGGTGAAAAGGATCTCCCCTTTGCGGAGAAGTTCAAGGCGCTTGGAGTTGAAATTGACTTGTCTGCCTGGAAGTCTGGCGAGGTGAGGTTTTCAAACACACCACAGCGCATAGCTGAGCTTACCGAGACAATTTCTCAGATACTGGACTCCCGGAAGCTAACACCTCAAGACGCCTTGTCGCTCAGGGGTCGAATGCAGTTCGCCCACTCACAATTGTGGGGGAGATCCGCAAAACTCTGTTTGAACGCCGTGACCACGCATGCATATTCCGAGCATGGAAACAACGTTTGCGAGAAGCTGGCTCACTTCCTGGAAGTGTTCAGAGACCGCTTGAAGACATCAAAACCTCGAGTGGTCACACCAGCATGGGACAGCCCTATGTTTGTCTTCACCGATGCCAGTTTCAGCCCGGATGACAAAAGATGGCCGTGCGGCCTTGGAGGTGTCCTGCTTGATTTTTATGGTAGACAAGTGGCCGCTTTCTCTTATTGCCTGTCCGCCGAAGAGCTGGCACTGCTTGGTTTTCCTGGAAAATCCACAGTCATTTTTGAAGCAGAAATGTTGGCTTTGCTTGTAGGTTTTGTTTTGTGGAAGCGCCATTTACGAAACCGGCCATGTGTCTTCTACATCGACAACAACTCCTCACGGGATGTTGCCATAAGTGGGCGAGCCAGGACTCAACCAGGGTCCACCCTCGTCGCTGAACTATTAAAGCTCGAAGACGAAAATTGCACCAACTCCTGGTTTGCGCGTGTGCCCTCAGTAAGTAACATAGCCGACGGCCCGTCCAGAAATTGCACTGCTGAAATTTCAGTAAGACTTGTTTCTAGGGAGTTGGTTTGCCTTGCGGTGAAGAGAGTTCTGAAGCCTCTTGCGCATGTCGGTTAAAAAGGGGGAAATGTTTTCTCTGGAGATGATGTGGATGGATGAAGGCCGATGTAGGCTTACATGTGAAATGGCAGTTGGGTTTGTTGCCACCGTGACCGGGCAGCAACATGTGACCCAGTTTTGATGCGTGGTCAAGCTGACCAGAACCGAACCAGGATGGACACCTGAGTTTGATGTCAAGAACCAGAGACATCCCCCTTGTGCGTGCAGAAAAAAGGTGAGGCGCTTGAGGGATTTCAGATTTGCATTCTTCAACTGATGTTTTGTGTTTGTGTTTTGGTTTTGGTTTGCATGCCCTTCCCTCTTGTTTGGTTTTACTTTCTCCTTGTACCTGTAACTCGGAGGTGTTGTCTTCGTGGCCTAGTGATGTAAAGTTAAGTTTGCTGTCAATAAAATTGATAGCGCCTTAAATTTGCAGAACGGAAGAAAATAGTTTTTTTTTTAAAAAAATTGTGCCACGAAGTACACACCTCAAATGAAAAACAAGGGGAAGTCAAAGCGAAACCTTTTGCCACCTTCGCACCTGTTGTGTTTTGCAGCCAGAGTTTCGTTATGGTAAATTAACTTCACAGTAACTCTTTTGAAATGTTTGTGTTAAATCTTGAAATCAGTTTGATTTCTCTTGACGTGTGATGTTTTGTTTCATGCTGTCGATTTGTTGCACTCATGTCCATTAATCTCATAACGATGAAGTGTCGTCCTCTCAAGTTTGCCTGTCCCAACCCAGGTAAACCTTTCCCACCCAGGCAAATCCATTTTGCATTGCCTACCTCTGGCAGTTTTGGCACCAGCTTGCATCACCTTTTTTCCCGGAGACCATGTCCCCTGATTCCAGGCGGCGATCTCGATCTCCCTGTGTTTCCTCGAACCTGCGATGCCGGACATCAGGGCGGCGCAAACTTTACAAGAACAGCGAATCACGCAGTTCGATCATTTGATCACGGGGTGCCGTGTCATTTTGGAGACATGCGGCCGCCCCAAATTCCTTGACAGCATTTTTGTGTTGTGGTCTCAGTTGTCACAGGCGCTCTATCTTCTCGAGCGCACATTGTGGCCAGAGCAAAGACCCGATACCCCGCTGCATTTGCAGCTCCCAACTGAGCCACGCCCCCTGGGCGATTTGCTTTTAGACGCTTTTACGCCAAATACACCATATATCTTCAATGCGATCAGTGCCTTGGAATCCTTCCACACTTGGTTCACTACATCATACAGTGTGGAGCTCCATTCAGACTTTAACTCTGTCCTCGTGGACGCGCTCCTTATTTTTCGTAGCGTGGAAACGCTACTGCGTTTGAAGCAACGCATCAACGCCACTGCTACCAGAGACCATGCAATTGATCTCGATCCTCCAGAGCCCACTGCAGCCGGCACTACTGAGCGAGCAACAGCGTCCACGACACCTGCAGAGGCCGGAGCGGCTGAAGGTCCCATGGAGCTCCAGGGCGATACAGGCACCCCTTTGCAGTGGTTTTGACGCGTGGAAATGTTTTCTCTGGAGATGATGTGGATGGAAATGTTTTCTCTGGAGATGATGTGGATGGATGAAGGCCGATGTAGGCTTACATGTGAAATGGCAGTTGGGTTTGTTGCCACCGTGACCGGGCAGCAACATGTGACCCAGTTTTGATGCGTGCTCAAGCTGACCAGAACCGAACCAGGATGGACACCTGAGTTTGATGTCAAGAACCAGAGACATCCCCCTTGTGCGTGCAGAAAAAAGGTGAGGCGCTTGAGGGATTTCAGATTTGCATTCTTCAACTGATGTTTTGTGTTTGATGTGAGTTTCTCTTTGAGAAACTTTTCCTTATTTGCACACGCAACAACTTTTTGCAAAAACGGTTTGTGTTTTTTTTTAAACAGCTGCAAACAAACCAACTCGTTTTTGCTGCGCGTTATTTATTTTTTGGAAATCCAGTGATTATTCGTTTCATCTGAAACATTTCCTTTCAAGGGTGTGGAGGGAGGGATTACCCTCTGATGGAATTTTTCCGTCTTTCAATGGGGGTTTACTTTGCTGTTTAGAGCCATGGACGTCACTGACAGCACTGTTGTTGACTCTTCGGAACATGACTGGGCTACAGCAGGGGTGGATGACTTTCTCAGTTTCTGTGATGATGTTTCCAAGCGTGAAGCTTTGTTTGGGGACAACATAGGACCTGTTGGTGATGGGCACACGTGTGAAACTAGTCATTCCACAGCCGATGCTGAACTTGACCGTGAATCAATGGTCAGTCCCACAACTGTCGCTTCAGTGGAGCAGATGGCACATGGAAACGAAGTTAGGACGCCTGGACAGACACTGGACAGTGGTGCAAACACAGACGGTGACAGAGTGAATTTCCAAAATGCTTTTCAGTCGGCTTTCAACCTTCTTTCACCTGAACAACCTAAGCAGATTTGGGAGACTGGTATCTGGAAACATATTTTTGGAAGTGATGGCGATGAATTGGATTTTGATATCTGGGGTCCACAAGCCAAACGGCCAGTGCCTTCCTTATGGGGAGTGGAACCGCATGGCAATGGACCTACTTCAGGTCCAAGTGGCAAACGCAAGTTTGAGCAGTGTTGCACCTACATGGAGGTGGTCTCATTTAGACCTGATGTGCCCTGGAAGGAGCAGCGGGAGGCCGACTTGCAGAGAGGATTAAATTTGTGGATGGCCTTGACAAGCAAGTGGGCAGACTCATGTTCGTTCATACAGAAGCTCAGTGAGATGCAAAACGAAACTGAGCAGTTCAACATGTTTGCGCACCTTTTTGCAGGGAGAGCGCCCACCACTGTCAGGAAACGAGGGCCGCTATTTTGAAGCTGTGCGATTTTCTTGAGAACAATCGGTTGGAGTCGTTTCCAATGAGTGAGCTGGTTTTCTACAGGTTCCTGTGTGCAGAGTCGTCCATGGGGGCTCCAACCAGCCGCCTTCGTGGATACCTACAAGCAATAACTTTCTGCAGGCATGTCATGGATGTGGTCGAATTGCAGCCGATCATTGATAGCAGAAGGTGCAAAGGGACAGCTCATGACGAGAATGTCAAGTAGCGCAAGCAAGCCAGCCCACTCAGTGTCCAAGAGTTGTTGAAGCTCCATGCAATGGTGGAGGACCCGGCAGACAGCTGGAATGCTCTTTTTGCAGGGGCTGCATTGCTGTGCTTTTATTGCAGAGGCAGATGGGGTGATCTGATGCGGAGCGAAATGGCTTTCATGGACTATGACGACAAAGGTTGTCCCGCCTTTCTGGAGACACGAACAGGGAGGCACAAGACAATGGCAGCACAGATGCATAGGCACCAGTTTCTTCCGATGGTGGCTCCAGTCAGAGGAGTCAACGGCAAGGACTGGGCCACTCCATGGGTCGAACTTCGGAGGGCGAAAGCTTTGGCCTTCCCACCAGAGGGGCTGATAATGCCAGCCCCTGACCAACATGGACAAGCCACAGAAAGGCCTTTGGAGTCTGGAGAGTGCGGCAAGTGGTTGCGAAAGTTGCTGGACGTTGCTCACCCTGCAGGGGTTCCAGGTGTACGCCGAGTCAGCAGCCACAGCCTCAAATGCACCATGTTGTCGTTTGCAGCAAAACGTGGGCTACCAGTCCCTGACAGACTCATGTTGGGGTATCACTCATCAAACATGCAAATGTCACTTGTGTACTCTAGAGACGGAGCTGCAGCAAGCCTTTTGCTTTTGGAACGTTTGATTGATGAGATAGTGAAAGGGAAGTTCAGACCCGACAGCACTCGCAGTGGCCGCATTGTTGAGTCACCAGTGGAGTTGCCAGGCCCCCAGCTAGGCAAAGTCAAAGTGGAAGTGGTTGATTCATCAGATGACGAAGCAGCAGTTGATGCAGGAGTTGAAGAGTCATCTGATAGCATTTCTGACTCCAGCTCTTCTGATCAATGCATTCCTCAGGATCACAGTTTGAACAAGGTATATGCGCCTCCAGAACCTCCTTCAGGTTTCTCACGATGGCAGCATTCTAAGTTGAAGACGCTTCACTTGACAGCTGAGGGATATGTCAACGTTTTTGTTTGCGGTAGGAAGGTTGGAAGTTTTCACCATAGGTTGGCTTCAATTCCCCGTTTTGATTCTCCTGTGTGTTGGGCTTGTTTTAACAAAGCCAAACAAACTGAAAAGGAGGGTTGAATGCAGGTGTCACGACATGCACAGACATGAAGTCGTCTTGTTTGGAACAGATCTCTTTTTTCATTTGTGCCGACCTCAGTTTTGGAATTTTGTCTGCAATGCAAGACACTTCAAGAAACAGTCCAGCAGTGCAGTGTTGTGACCACTCTTGTGCGGTGATTTGTGAAGTGCCTTAGCAATGCAGCTGCCCAATTGCATACACATGTTCATGTGCTCACGGTCATGTTCCGTCTGGTTCAATGTTCAGTTGAGATGTTAGCGCTTGTATTTGCACCGACATCAGGGGCGGCTGGGTTGGCACGATCACCGACAATGGCTGGGGCCTGCCCTACGCTCGGTGGGTGTCATAGGTCCACAAATGAGTTTCGATTTTGCCGATTGTGTCATAGTTTGCTGACTGTTGTTTGGGTAGCATGATTGTCACAGAACAGAACCTGTCAGACACCAGAGCTCAGCCCCAAGCAGTCAGTCATGTAACACTGGGCAACTTGTGACTCAACTTTTCAATGAGTTTGTTTTGTTTCAACTTGTCAGTGAAATCATACTTCAGTGACTGATGGATGCGACAACAGGGCAGGTGGCTTCTAGGGCCAGAACCAGCGTTGCAAGTGCATTGCATACACGTCAGCTTCAGTTTTTTGTCATTGCAAGAAGTTTATTTTTCGCAGGTGGTTGTCAGCTTGTGTGGGTCGTTGGATTGCTTGTCAAATCATTCATATGAGAGAGACGTGAAGATGCATTCAAGAGCGCCCGCACCAAAACCGGCTGGTGCAACCAGGGAATTGGACAGGCGGGGGCCCAACATGGGCACCAGCAGGTCCGATGCCGTTTCAGAAAACTCTGCATGACTGCCGAACACTCAAACACAGCAAGAGTCCAAAAAGACCTTCACAGTGTCTTGGATTGCGAGTGTTGTGAGCTGGCTGAGTCATTTGGAGCGCAGAGAAACCAATTGCATGAGATTCATCTTACATTTTTGATTTGTGACATGTTTGTGCGTGGAGAGACTCAGAGGCACAAGCCATAGGTTAGTGCGAAGAGTTGAACACGGCAACAGGACAAAATCAGCAAACATCACAAACCCCGTTTTGGGGAAACTTGGCAATGTGATCTTTCATTTCGTTACAGCATTGATTCACTGTTTCTTTTAGTCGGCAAAGCAGACTGGACACACGGAATTTGTGCAGATGATTTTTCTTTTTATCAGTGTGCATCATGTGTGTTTTTCTGACTTTGTGCACAATGTCACTCGTCGAGAGCAATGCGGCGTTTTCACAGAGATGCAGTGAACTGGATCGGACTGGCAACTTTGGGAATGCCGTTACAGCCCAGAACATCAACACTTTTAGCGCGATGGCTTTTGCTCTGGGTACTCCCCAGACTCCTCCGACAGATCAACAATTTGACACCCTGGCTCAGACCATCTTCGGTGGCGGCTTCACCTTGGGACAGACCTCAATGCTACGGAGGCTTCACTTTGAGTCGATAGCATCGGTCAAGCAGAGAGTCGACGGAGAGTCTTCAGACCGGCCTGACAGTGTCAAGCGCATACCAGTTGCAGAAAAGCGCTACAGGTTGGAACAGCAAGAACAAAGGCTGGCTGGGATAGCTATCTCAGGGGAGATGGAACCATCGCATCAGCTGCTCGACCTTACAAACAATGTTGTGGAGACGGGGTCAATCATTTGGATAGCCCCATCGAGATGCACAGTCAGAAGAAGTCCAGTTGTCGATCAAGGAGCGGCCATCTTCAGTACAAGTGGAGAACCAGCAGCTCAAGATTGCGCAGATTTCGGATGACTTCAAAGCAGATTGTGGGAGTGAGATAAAACTCCAATGGTGCTTGCAGAGGCGGGGCATTGCAATGGATCAATGCCAATTGCTCACATGGGCTACCCATGAGGCCTGGGTACAACAGTTATTTCGAACGCTCAGCCAGCAAGCTCCACCAAACTTCCACCCAGTGAAGATGGACCAGTTGGTGCGTGCAGACAGAGAGCTGTGGACTTTGCTGGCACAGGAACACAAAGGAACCTTGAAAGTGAATGCAACCGGCGAGATTCCGCTGGACGGCCTTTTCAGGCGCTTCTGTCAGGATCCGGAATCCCCGCATCACCATGTTTCTCTTGCCTGCTCCAGCTGGAGCCCGAACCACTGACAAAGAGGCCACCACCAAGAGATCTACTGCACCTGGGGCTACGCAAGCGTCAGCAAAGAGCGGCAGTACAAAGAAGCGCAAGACGAGGGCGGAAAAGCAATGTCCAGATGAGCTCAAGAAGTTCAACCTTCGTTGTGAACATGGTCCAGTTTGTTGGGCCTACAACTTGAAGACTGGTTGCAAAAATAGCACATCAGGAAAGCCCTCTCGATGTGCCAAAGGCTTTCATGTTTGTGCCAACTGCCACAAAGCAGGTCACTCAGTGGTGGTATGCAGAGGGCTTACGAAAAATGATGGGGCTTGACAAAACGAAGCCACTGGCGCCATTTTGGAGCCAGGTGGTAAGCGCAAAGCTGTATCACCTAGTGTGGCTGGGCTCCAACAACCAGCCACCAAGAAGAGGGGGTGAAAAAGGCGACCACATTGTCCAACACATTGGCCCCGATGCCCCACAAGTTTCACTTGCTCCTTCGGTTCATGTCGAAGTTCCAGAACCGAGTGTTTTTGAGACCAAGCAGAGAAACAAATTTGCTGGGAAACTCCTCAACGACATCCTTGTCGTCGAAATTTGTGCGGGCAGCGCAAGGCTCACTCGCATTGCAAGAGAAGCAGGGTTTCATGGTTTAGCCATAGACCACTCTTCAAGCAGGTCATGTGGTGTTGATATTTGCCTTTTTGAGCTGGAAGATCAGACACAGGTTGATGTGTTGTGCAAGTTTTTAGAGGAGGAGGCGGACAACATTGCAGCGATTTGGATAGCCCCATCGTGCGGGACAGCTAGTCGAGCAAGGGAGAGAAAGTTACCCCAGCTCAGACGTTTTGGGATTGCAGAGCCAATACCTCTTAGGTCCCAAACACAACCTGATCAAATCGACGGGCTGGAGGGTACAAACAAGTTGAAAGTCGAGAAGGCCAACATGTTGTACAATGCAGTCGAACAAATTGCACAAACTGCGTGCAGGGCTCAAATTTTCACTGGGATTGAAAACCCGGGCAACAGCCACTATTGGAGCACTACGCCCATGCAAAATCTCGTGCGTGAGTTTGGCGACAAATTTGTCAGTTTTCACAACTGCTGCCACGGTGGTGAACGTGACAAGCTCACCTCGGTGTGGGTGATTGCAGACTGGCTTGACAGTCTAAATGCAAGGTGTGACGGATCACACCCACACAAGTCTTGGAAAGTCACCGTTTCTGGAAGCAAGGTGTCATTTCCAACTGCGGATGAGGCTGCATACCCCTTTGTGCTGTGCGAGCGCATCATCGATTGCATCAAACACAAGGTGCTATCGTATGGAGCCATCCAGTCAAACAACCTTGCGCAGCAACTACAAGGTTCACTGCCCCGAGGTGCCAAAGTCAGGCCGCTGGTTACAGAATTTGGTTCTTTTACAGCGGCTGTCGCACCAATACAACAGTCACAGTGTGTTGATGACTTTGTGAAACAACTGCCCAAAGGGAGCAAGATCACCTCTCGACAGCTTCTGAAACGGGGGAAAATTCGGGTCGAGGGTGAGGGTTTTTCTCACCACTTTCTTGCAAACTCAAAAGAGCTGCCAGATGACACCATGGTTGAAATGTGTTGGATAGGTGTGCCAAGTGACCCTGATGATTTTGTTCAGCGTGCTTTTAGAGCGGGGCACCCGCGCGGGATGGACGTCCATGTGGATGAGTCTATGGCAGCGGTAGTGAGGGAAAACTTGGTCGACCCACCTTTTTGTTTGGCAAAGAAACGAGTTGAGTTCATGAAAAAATGGACTGCTAGAGCCAAAGAGCTTCAGCCGGAGGAGACAGCGTTCAAGGAAAAGATGCCAGAACATGTTAGAGAGGTTCTGGGCGGCAAACGCTTGGTCCTTTTCAAAGAGATTCTGGAGGATCTCAACTATCCGGACAGCAAGTTGATAGACGACATAGCAGGTGGGTTCAAACTGAGCGGTTACATGACAAAGTCAAATGTTTTTCGTGCAAGGTCTAAAAGGCCAGCCTTTTCTTTGGAGACATTGCGCAAGCTCAGCAAGTCTTTCAACTCCAGGAATGTGGAGGCTTTGCACAAACGACAAGATGCAGAGCTGGAAGAGCAAACTTGGCAAGAAACAGAGGAGGAGCTGCGCAAGGGATGGATATTTCTGGATACCTCTGAAGATCTGGAAAACAAGTTTCTTGGAAGGCGCTTTGGAATCCATCAAGGTTCCAAAGTGCGAGTAATAGACGACTGCACATGCTGCGGTTTAAACCTCACCGTGGGGTTGCACGAGAAGTTCAAGCTCCATGCAATTGACTTTTTGGCTGCTATCATGGGCCATGCGTTTCGCACTTGCGAGCCCGGTTCCATTCCTGCAGTGAAAGGTCGCACATACGACCTGAAATCGGCATACAAGCAATTTGCTGTGAGCTCAGGCGACCGCGACACTTTAAGGATGGGAGTCAATGTGCCTGGTCAGACTGCTCACGCGGTGATTGGCTTCAACTCTTTGCCCTTCGGGGCCATAGGGTCAGTGGCTGGCTTCCTGAGAGTGAGCCAAGCACTTTGGTATGTTGGGTACTTTGGATTGGGCTTGCTTTGGAGCGCTTTTTATGATGACTTCACCTTGTTGACAAGGGTTGAACTAGAGCAGAACAGCAGTTGGGCTTGCGAGTCTTTGTTTTCACTGCTTGGCATGAAGTATGCAACGGAAGGGAAGAAATGCCTCCCATTCGACGGTCTTTTTCGGACGTTGGGCTTGGAAGTTGACGTGTCCAAGTTCCGTGAGGGACATGCCTTTGTGGGACGCACAGAAAGCAGAAAGGAAGAGATAGGATCTCAGTTGCAAAAGGTGCTGTCTGAGGGAGCGTTGAGTCCAAAGGACGCTGAGAAACTTAGAGGCAGGATGATCTTCTTCGAAGGTTATACTTTTGGAAGGGTTGCAAACTCCTCCACAAAGACTTTGGGACGTTTCTGTGGTGGCTCCAACAAGCCCAAACCCCTGGACGCTGAAATGACTAGGGCTCTCAAGTTTTTGCAGCAGAGAATAAGTGATGGTCGTCCACTCACCATCGAACGAAACCTACACAGCACCTGGCTGGTCTTTACAGACGGCGCTTGCAATCAAGAGGACATGACAGGGTCGGTCGGTGGAGTCATTTACGACCCATCTGAGGCCTGCATCAGGTTCTTCGGAGAAGCTGTGCCTACAGCAATCATGGAGGACTTGTTCAAGCGATCAAAGAATCCAATCCATGAACTTGAAGTTCTTCCTGTGTTGATTGCAACACTTGCTTGGGGCCACCTATTCACTTGTGCACAGGTGATATACTTTATCGACAATGAGTCAGCGAGAATGGCCTATATTCGAGGCACTGGTGAGACGCTTCGAGCAAGCTTGTTGGTGCAATCGTTTGTTGAAATCGAGGCGGCACAACAACACCGTGTCTGGTTTGGCCGTGTACCGAGTCACAGCAACCCTGCAGAATCACCAAGCCGTCTGGATTTCAGTTGGGTCCTAGCGAAGGGTGCGACCCGAACCAATGTTGATTGGGAGAAGGTTTCACGCCACCTTGGACTTTGAAATGGGGCGGATCTCGGAAGGCGCAGAAACTTTCCCCGGTGTAAAACAGGTGTTCTTGCTTTGACTCAGTTGTACACATGTCGTTGTCATTTTCGATGTGATGCCAATTTTGTTTATGTTTAATTTTTTGGATGTTCCGAAAACTGACGCGCGTATTTGTGGAGTGTATAATAAGATGTGAGTTTCTCTTTGAGAAACTTTTCCTTATTTGCACACGCAACAACTTTTTGCAAAAACGGTTTGTGGTTTTGTTTTTAAACAGCTGCAAACAAACCAACTCGTTTTTGCTGCGCGTTATTTATTTTTTGGAAATCCAGTGATTATTCGTTTCATCTGAAACATTTCCTTTCAAGGGTGTGGAGGGAGGGATTACCCTCTGATGGAATTTTTCCCGTTTTTCCCTCCCATTTTGACCTCATCGGTCCCAAAATTTTTCCCACCCGCGTAAAAATATGGTTCTTAAAAAAGAGCCACACCCCGAGCCCTGGATCTCGGAAGGTGCAGAAACTTTCCCCGGTGTAAAACAGGTGTTCTTGCTTTGACTCAGTTGTACACATGTCGTTGTCATTTTCGATGTGATGCCAATTTTGTTTATGTTTAATTTTTTGGATGTTCCGAAAACTGACGCGCGTATTTGTGGAGTGTATAATACGTGTTTTGGTTTTGGTTTGCATGTCCTTCCCTCTTGTTTGGTTTTACTCTCTCCTTGTACCTGTAACTCGGAGGTGTTGTCTTCGTGGCCTAGTGATGTAAAGTTAAATATATATATGTATAATTATGTATATATATATATATATATGTAATATATGTATATATATCAGGTCAAACGGCATGTCAAAATGCATGTCAAACTACATGTGAAACTGCATGTAAAAATAAATGCCAAAATGTATGTGGGAATCTCAACCAGACAACATGATTTCAGAGTAAATGCCAGTATATGTTTTGAAAAACGTTAAAATATATGAGTCTAAGTATACGTCCTAAAATACAACAAAACAGATGTCCGAACAATGTCAAAGTTTATGTCGGAATAAATGTCAGGATAAATGTGTGTCATCATTTTGGAAGCATTGTTTCATGATTGTGGGGATCGCATGAATTATACTAATTTCACTTTTTCCAAATCGCAGACCACGTCACTTGCAAATAAATTTGATTGGACAAGTATTTAGTTGTGTGGCTACCACAGACGGATTTGGCGTGCAACGATTTACTCCCTTTTGTGCAGGGAAATTCAATGATCGTGGTTTTGTTGTTCAGTGCTGTACGAGCCGGGCGTGCTCAAGGGCAACATGACGGGTAATGCGGTCTTGGTTTCCAAGTTGGGCCATTCCATTCAGCAACATGTTTCAATGCAGGTTTGCAGATCAATTAATTTTTGCAAAAACTAGACCTGTCATTGCACGATTCCGTGCAACATATCACGCAGAGGGAGAGGATTTAACAAAATGTAAAAAATCCGAGTTGTCTCAGTTGCACACATTTCTGCAGGATACATCTTACCAATGCCACCGGTCCCCACGGAGAAAGGCTATGGGCACCTCAATGGTTTTGAGACTCGGGCCTCTCTTCCCGAATGCTCGGGTCTTGTTTGCTTTGACGGTGTTTGCGACATGTGCAAGTTTGCTCCGGATGATACTTCCTCTGTGGTCGGGATCTGCTGGCTTACTTGGGCAATCTCTGGAGACGCGTTTTCCCTTGCAACCCCAAGAAATGTATAAAGAACACATGATGATGCATGGTCAGAAAAGGAAAATTATTACCCGGGATGCCCAGGTGCCTTTCCAATTCAAATTTCACATTTGCAATGGACTGACAAATCAAAAACTTCAATTATTAGATGGCGCCTTGGCCGGTTTATTTTTGGGGGCGCAAATCGTGTTGCCCAAGACTATTGTGCTGAATGGCGCTCAATTTGTGTCGGTTACGGACCAGAACAGACAACCTTTGGATCACATGTTCAACATGACTCGCTTTGAAACTATGATCCAACAAGTGCAGCTGGGCCAGTATGGTTTCCATTTTTTTTTAACCCGGAAAATCAACACTAAATGAGGTAGGCCGACATCAATTGTCCAATTTTGCAAGCGATTAGGACAAATACTGACAAACATTCCACGTTCGAGTTTTGGCAAAACAAACCACGCTCCAGGTACCATGATTTTTGGTGTCGGCGCAAAAAAAATCGAGCTTTCAAAATATGGTGCAGTGAGACGCCACCAGCCGCCATCGTGTACGACGACGAAACACCAACGACAGTTGTGGATATCAAGTTGAAGCGGAAAGACTGGGCGGCCAAAGCTCTGACTCAGGCCGGTGAGGTGGCATTGAAACATATTTCGGATTACAAAAATTCAATGGAAAAAATGAGAAACAACCGCATTTTGCGCATCACGGTGCCATGTGAATTTTGGTTCGAAGTCAAGGTGGTCGAAGGAGGTGATTTCTGGGATGAATTTTGGAAAATTAACGATGCGCTGGAGTTCAACCAAGAGATTCTCTGGGTGGGCAAGACTGCCAAGCATGCGTTGTTGACAGATTTTAGCGATGCTGCTCGAGAAAAGGCACGCAGATTTGGATACCAGTTTGACAAAGACTTGATTCAGCACGGCGGTTACCATGTCGTACACCTTCGAGCAGAACAAGATTGGCAAGCGCACTGCAAAGTCTGGCTGTCGTGGCGTGAAAAAAGAGACAACTGCATAAATAATACTTTTTCCATCGGGAATGTGCTGCTGTCAGAGGGTATTTCTCCTGCTTTGCCAGTCTATTTGGCTACTGGCCTTTCTGAAAGTGAAATTCAAGGTTTGCAAGATCTTTCTTCTATGCATAGTTTTTTCAACATCTACACAGTCGTCACCAAAGGCATGCTAGGGTTGCCGGCAGACGTTGGCAACAAGAGAGAATATTGGGCTGCAGTGGATTACATGTTTAGTCAAAACGCAGACCGGTTTGTGGGCAATAGCATTTCCACATTTTCTGCTTTGACCATGGAAGTTCGAGCCCGACAAAAAATGCCAATTTTGCCTTACAATGGAGGGACAATGAAATTGGAAGAAATCAACTGTATCCGGTCAAATGCATTGACAATGATACCTCCAATGAGGGCAGAAATTAAATGGGTGTTCACTCTCCCTCGAAAAATTGAGCAGAACGATTTGGTTTACAACATGACTATGGTGGCTGTGAAAAGTGCGGCTGCCAAAACTGGACTGATCCCGGTCTGTGTGACTGCAGAGGATCCTTCATCAACAGTGCTTGTGAAACTTGTCTCTATGGGCGTGAGGGTGATCTACCACAGACCAGAATGGTTGGGGATTGCAGAACGAAATTTGGAGCAGAAAAATGTTCGTGAGGCTCAACTAGATGCGATGATGGCACAGTGGCTGCGCATTGACATTCCAGTCCTGGGGCTTTTGGATGAATTCGTTCTCTACACAGATATTGATGTTCTTTTCACAGGCGACATTTTTTGGAAAGACCTCTTGGGTAAGAATCACCTGAGCCTTCGTGGATCATTGGTGCGCAACATGTTTGGTAAGGGTTTCTTTGACGAGTATGCAGCTACAGGCCGCGTTGGGGTTCCAAAATTTCTTGGAGTTGCGGAGCGTTGGGGCTCAACCGTGCCAGCATCGAAGAACGAGGATGGCTTGGACTGCGGCGTGATGTTGATGAATCTACGTAGTTTACGTGAGTCTCATGAGCGCTTCAGACAGTTTGTGCTCCGCAAGCAGTGGAAACAGCTGTTGAAACTGGCCGATATGCATGGATCTGATCCTTGCGTCTATGCTGGATTCTATCAGATATCCAATTTGCCTGGACGATTGGTTTGGAAACCGCAAGGAATGCAGTTGGCAAGTCTTACCCATTTTGAAGGCATGAATTGTGCAGGTGTTGCAGCTTACATGAGAAATGGTGGAAATGATGGAGCAAGGACACAGCCCTACAAAGAGAGGCTTGAGGAATGTTTCGACCTTGAAATTTGTCGGATCTCTTACCTGGAATTCTGTTCAGACTATACTGCATACGTGCGATAAAGCGGACAAAGGTCGATAGTTCTGTTCCTATTGCCATTCGTGCCCTCAGGAAAGCTTCCGAAGACGCACAGCTGTGAGCAAGTAGGGGCTGTCCATATCGGTGAATAAGTAGCAGGTTGACGCATTCATAGCTCAAGGTCTAAGGGTGTTTTCCCGAGTTTGTCCAAGGAGCAATTATTGATCAACTCGTCAAAACCGCTCTGTTTTATGCTGAGAAACCATTTTGATGGTTTTTGATGTCATGCTGAGAGCTGCATCGCCGTGTAAGGACATGTCAGCCACAGGCAACTTCCATGTCATGCTGAAGCAGCGGCTCGAGACAATCCAGTCCATGTCTGCATAATACTTGACTTATCGTCAGTATTGTGTATCCGGCATACCCGGCATAGCTTAGGTTGGTTGGTTTGGCATGGAATGCCATGCCCATATCACATACTGAAGACAACTCTGTAGAGCACCAGTTTTTCTTGGCGCTAGAGCTAATTTAATGTCTTTTAGGAATCAATTTAGAGATGGAGTGCACCGCAAATTAAAGTACTCACTCATATATTTTGCAATATTTTGTAGTTCTGCGAAGGCCATGGCGTCCTTGGTTCGCATTTCTTGGCTAATTGCATTATTTGCTCTAGTGATTCTGAACTGTATGCTGCTGACTTCATACCTTTCAATGCAACCCATCATGAATATGGTTGCACTGCAGAAATCGGTCAATGAACCTGCAGAAAATCGACCAGACATGTATTTGACACTCTGGCTCCATCAAGTTCACAAGTGGTTTCGGGACAAAGCTGAAGGCAAAGAAAAGGTGCGTGCCTTTATTCAAGAAGCCAAGGCAAGCGAATTCAGCGCAATAATGACAAATGTGCCATGGGCATGGACAGAAAGAGAAGAACAAAATGATATTCGCATTGACACGTTTGACAAGGACTTCATGGATGTCGTCTGTGAGGAAAGATTGAAATTACACATTGTACTTGGATTGAACGAATTTCCGCCCTGGGTATCTGCTCAGCGCATTGACAGTCAGAATTACTCGGAAAAAGGTTCCAGGCACCAGAACTGTGCCAAACGCGATTCTATTCCTTCTTCAGCTCTAGCACATCTAGAGGTTTGAGACTTGATTTCAAATTTTGTCAGCAAAGTTACGTGGAAACTTACCACCAAATATGGTGATTGTATTGAGAGCATTTCGCCCACGGTGAATAATGAGTTTGAGACGCGCTACACGCAAGAGTTTGACAAGATGCGGGACTACTCATTTCATTCCCTTGAAACCTACCGGAGATGGCAGGAAAGTAAAGGTCTGAAGCCCATAGATGCCTTTGATTACCCATGCGAGCCTGTGTGCAGACCCATTGTCGACCAATCAGAGTCTTTACATCTTTGGTTAATGTTCCGGCAAGAATTTCTAGCAAAGAAATATGAGGCGCTTTGTTTCCTGGTGCACACGGAGTGGAATCTGGAGAAGAACCAAGGAACGACACCGTCTTGTTTACTTCATTTTGGCGAGTTTTTTGCGACAACGGATGTGTTGAACAGCAACTTGTTGTTTTACTTGGCACGTTCGCCAGTGGTCGACCACGTCGTCATGGACTCCAACATGGCGCTTCTGAGAGCCCCGTCCTCGCCAAGCATTGTTGGAGTCATGGTTTCAACTGCAAAGGCCTATGGCAAAACCGTGCACTACGAAGCAGCCACGGAAAGGGTCTTTCCTTGCACTGACGACGGCAAGTTGCAGTCGGTGCACACTTGTTGCAAGAGGGCTTGCAAAGTGCAATTGATGCTGGTGTGGATTGCCTTGGAATCACAAACCTGTGTGCTCCGAAAGCAGCCGTGGACATGATGCCAAGAAAAACCAGGTGGGGCCAAGTTGGTGCAGTGGATAGAAAAGTAAGCACAGAATGTGCGGCAAACATCAAAAACTGAAACTATCTTGCAGACACCTTATCAAAGTTCTCAAAGTAAGTTAGGAAACAGTCTTCCAAATTGCGGATGACATGGAATCATCCCGCACTTCAATTCCCGGGACGAGTCTCGGGATCGGATGGGGGATTGGGGATTTGATCACGGCCTTGAATTCTAGTTTCATAGATTTTCATGGCATGTTTTGTGGTTTCAGTTGTGCATTTTTCTTTGGATGTGCTACTGGAAGCCTTGGTGGTCCATGGGTGGATACGCTTTGTGGCTCCAATCATCAGCCAGCGCTCATTGGCGCTTATCCCAATATATATATATATATTTTTGTTGACTTGTAAGGGTTCCTATGTAGTATGTTTCACTAATTAACATGGTTAGGATGTTGTTTGTTTCACTACCGCAGCCCTTTTTCAAAGAGGTAGCTAGCTGACAGAGCCCAAAAGTCCGCTGCATGGTAGCGGAGCTCCTGGTGAGGAGGCTGGTGCTTGGAGCGCCTGAGGCGCAGAGCTGCTTCAGCTCGCGCCCGGACCAACTGGGTCCGTCTGGTACGCAAGCAACGTTGGGGTCTTCCTACAAGGATTCCCCAGGAGTCTGTTGGACCAAGTTAGGAGGTTGCAGTAATGTCAGCCCCAACGAGCCCTACAGCACAAAGTGGTGGCGCTGAAGTTGTCTTTGGACAGATACTACAAACCATGCAAGCTGGTATGCAACAGATGGCCCAAGACTCACAGCAGAGGTTCGAATTGCTGGAAAGAGGCCTACGTGAGCAGTCCCAGTTTCTACAGGCCAGTGCAACAGCGCAAATGACTGCACTGGAAACTCTCTCAAAGAAGTCCAACGTGGTGGACGTGAAGGGAGTGGGCAAACCTGACGTACTGAAAGGGAGCCATGAAGAGGCGAAGCGTGCCTGGAAAAGTTGGGCGTATAAGTTTGAGTCATGGTTTGTGTCGCAGTACCCAGATGCTGGACAACAAGCTTTAGACTGGGCAAAGGAGAAGGGTGACACAACCGTCTTTGACTCAGATGTCCAGCAGAAGGCTAACACCTTAACCGATCTACGCAAAATGGATGGGCACTTGCACGTCGCCCTGGTGTCACTGACATCAGGAATGCCATACGACGTGGTGTTCAATGCCAGGAAGAAGTGTGGACTGGACGCCTGGAGGAGACTGAACCATGTGTATGAGCCTTGGAACCCACGGTCAAACATGAGGCTTCTACGAAGGATACTGGTGCAACCCAGGGCAACCTTGGATGGCTTGAGAGCCGCCATCGACCGTTGGGAGGCCGACCTGGTGGAGTATGTGCAGAGAGGAAACTGTGACATGGATGACCCACAGAAGGTGACCATCTTGCTGAGTATGGTACCTGAGTCCCTGGAAGATCACCTGGAGATGAATATGAGCCGGCTGGACACCTATGTTAAAGCACGGTCGGAAGTCATCTCCTACACAGAACAGAAGGCCTTCAAGGCCGATGCCGATAGCGGTGGCGCTGCCCCTATGGAGCTGGATGCCTTCAAGGGGAACTCCAAGGGTAGCAGCAAAGGTAACAAAGGTGTCAAGGGCAAAGGAAAAGATGGCAACAAGAACAATCCCGACAAGGATGTGGTATGTCACCTATGTGGAAAGAAAGGACACCGAAAGGCCAATCGCTGGCACGCAAAGGCCAATGGGGGCTCTGGTCAACCGCCAAGTCAGAAGGGCAACTCCCAGTCCAACACCAAGAGTGGCAAAGGAAAGGGACAACAGAAAGGTAAAGGCCAAGGGAAAGGCTCCAAAGGCAAGGCTCACGCCTTGGAAGGCGAAGCTGAAGGAGATCAAGCCGCTGAGCAGGAGTGGCCGGATGGTGATGAACCTGAGCGAGAAGGCAACTTGGGACTCTTGTGCGTGGCCGGAGGGTCGAGTACTGGCTCAGTAACGTCCCCGGGTCGCACAGGGTCGCCAATGGATGGGGAGACAGCTACCAAGATCGTGCGCCCGGAGCACGGCAATCTCTCCTGGTTCTGGTCGAGGCCTTGGGACGATGTGGTCTCGGAGTGCAAGAGAGATCGAAGTAGAGCGGATCCGATCTACCGGTGCACGGTGCCTAACTGTAAGGGGTACTACGGCACACGGCTTGGAAGCACACGTGTGGTCCAAGTTACAGACAATGGGTCACCCTGTGCAAGAGCAGTGGGATGCTTGGAAGGTCGCGGCCAAACGAGGTCACTACATCAGGCCAGAGCTGCCTGGTGAGGAGGAGTTCCTCAGGAACCCCGTGCACTGTGGGAAGGATCCCATTTGGGTGCATTTGCCAAGAGAGCCGGACTACTCCAAGCGCAAGGACAATTACGAATCCGAACCGGGAGACGAAGAGGAAGGAATGCAAAGCGCCGAGAAAGAGGAAGCTCAAGAAGAAACTACCGAGGAAGAGTCCCCGGTGAGCGATTACATCGTCGAGGAGTCACTAGTTGGAGAAGATGACAACCGGACACGGAAGTCGAGTACTGCTTCAGTACCGTCTTCTAGGTCCAATAGGTCCAGGACTCCACTTCCAAGGAGAAGATGTCCTGTGGAAGCTGAAGAAGAGAAGCCAGGGTCCGGCGCTATGTCTGGATCGACTGCGGGATCCTCTGTGCAGAAGTATGTTCCCCCTCACAAGCGACAAGCTGAGTCATCAAAGGGCAAGTGCTCTGTGGGTGGAGCTTCGTCTTCGAAGCCTGCCCCATATGAGCTGACTGCTGCTTCAAGAGCCATCATGCTTGGAGAACTCCTAGGCAAACGGAATGATGAGCTGGAGGAGCGACGTGCATTCTTGGATGATCCCAAGTGTCAAGGGGCTACTCGAACTGAAACCTTGGACATGATCGCCAAGTTGGAACTTGAGCTTGAGGATCTGAAGGGTGAACAGCGAACTGTCCGACGAAAGTAACGAGGAGGGGTTTCTTCACGGCAAGAAAGAGACAAGGAAGTTCTTGGAGGACGCTTGGCCTACCTGAAGGAGAGGTCAAGGAAACGCGCTGCAAGTAAAAGAAGGGAAGGTCACGTGGATCGCGTAAAGGAGAAGTTGCAGAAGGAAGACGAATGGTACAAACGCTTCAA